GGGTTCAGGGTTTATTTAGGGTTTGGGGTTTATAAGGTCTCTAAACCCCAGACCCCTCAATTCACAAAACCCCTAAGACACAAAAGCCTAAATCCGTATCTACAGTGCCTTGCGGGCCTTCTCTGTATTCTGTACGTATGTTGACCGCATGCAGTTTCGGCTTCGTTTTGGCGTTGGGGTTTAGCAGAAGTGTTTGGGACCAGTGGTTGGGAGGGAAGGGCAGGGCAGGGCAGGACAGAGATGTGGGAGTAAGGATTCAGGATTGATGCAGCCAGGTGTGCAGTACAGAAAATGACACTCGATAAGAAGCGAGATAGCTGAGAAAAAACTTCCGGATCAATACAGTGCCGATGCGCGCTGTCGGTCTCTACACTCTACACAAAACACAGATGCCCCACCATGCCCTGGCACTGTAGCCACCACCCTTACAAAGATCGTGCGACCTGCAACAAACCTTTACAGAGAACCCCCAGTCTTCAGAGTTTAGGGTTTTGGGCTTAGGGGTTTAAGGGTTTATTGGTTTAGGGGTTTACGGTTTAGGGGTTTAGGGTTGAGGGTTTACAGACTTAGACCAACCTCCTCGAATAACCCTAGAGCAACCTCCTCAAACCGCCGGCCCTAAGACCCTCCCTAAACCTTTCAAGCCCAAATTCCCATGAATCCCAAACAAACGAAACCCCTAAACACCTTCAAACTGAGGTACTGTAGGGGCCTTACTACTTGGAATAGGGGTTTGGCTCCTTTATCGTATATTTGTAATATGGAACCCTAACAGTACTATTGGTCATCATTTAGGCTTCTATATGAAAGTGTGAAAACACCTTGCAGGGACTAATGTAGGGGCCTCAATAATTAGAATAGGGTTTTGGGGTACAACATACTATAAATATAATAAGGAACCCCCAAAAAAAATAAAATAAAAATAAACCCTAAACCCTGAACCCTAAACCCTAAACCCCCAGAAGATCATAGGCAATTATTCAGGCCCCTACGTTAGCTCCATATACTCAGCTCTACAGCCCTTGGTGCCTTCAACAGCTTGCGCTGTGGTCGGCGGGGCGCACTGCTTGGGGCCGGACACTGCCTCACATGTGCTAGGGGTATTAAAGCTCGGGGCTTAAGGCTTACGGTTTAGGGTTTAGGGTTTAGGGTTTAGGGTTCACGGTTTCGGATTTCGGGTATATGCGCTTGGGTTTAGGGTCAAGGGTACAGGATTTAGGGGCTTGGGGTCTAGGATGCCGCAGCGGCCTTCATCGAATAGGCTTTTGCGGTATTGGGATACTCTTGCAAAGTGTGCAAGTTTCTAGATTGGGGCAATTAGTTTGGGGTGGACGGTTATTTAAACTAAGGGTTTAAGGCATGGGGCTTATATGATTTAGGGTGCAGTGCTTGGGTGCATTTCACAATCAGGATCAAGAGCGGCATCAGCCATCACCAAGAAAAGTAAGGATTCAAAGACGCCCATATATCTACTAAAACACTGCTTAGCTGCTGAGCTACTACTCCGACTCGGTTGTCTCCTGTCTGTGACTACATCATAGTCTCTGTACTGGCATTGGAAAAGAATTGAGACGGATTGGCAACGAGTCTATTCATCGTGGCGAGACACCGAAACGGCTCTGTCGTAGCAGTAGATACATGGGTAGTTCTCTAAATTGGGGCCCCTTTCTAGGTCCCAAATCACCCTTGTAAAAGGGACCCGCAAAGGGACCCTAGTTAGAGAACTACCCACAACCCTAAACCCCAAACCCTAAACCCTAAACCCTAAACTCTAAACCCTAAACCCTAAACCCTAAACCCAAACCTCTAAACCCTAAACCCTAAACCCTAACCCCTAAAGTCCTAAAGCCCCCAACATCTTGAACCCCCGCGACCTTCACTCGTCAAAACTCCGCCGAACCCCAAACCCTAAACCCTAACCCGTAATGGTAGGGTTTAGGGTTTAGGGTTTAGGGTTTAGGGTCTAACCCGTAATTGTAGCTAATGTAGGGGCCATCATAATAATTAGCATAGGGCTTGGGGTCTATTATACTATATGTATAATTAGGAACCCCCAACAGCCTACTCTTATTATTAAGGCCCCTATATTACCAAGGCCCAGCAAACTCCTAGATCCTCAAAGCTAGACTGAACTGCGGGACCTGCGCCCAACACCCGAAGCCCTACAGCGGTTTAAGGGTTTAGGGCTTAGGGTTTAGGGTTTAGGGTCAAGGGTTTAGGGTTTAGGAACCCCCACAACGAGGCAGTCTAGACCCTAGACCTCTAGCCCCTGAGCCTACAACCTAGACCAAGCACCACCAACTCTGAAATTTATCGAACCCTTCTGAAACACGGATTGAGACCCTCACTGAGCCCTTCTGATAACAACCCTCATATCCCAAAGCCCTTGCGAAACCTGCATGAAAGCCTTTAGCCCCAAACCCTAAGTCCTTATGACACCCCATTGAACAACGCAAGAACCCATCCCCAGACCCTCAAACCCGAACCTCTCTCATGAACCACCCCAACAAAAAAACACTACGTAAACCCGGAACCGTAAACCCTAAACCTTACACCCTAAATCCTAAATCCTAAACCCCAGGCCAAAAAAACACTCCAAGACAGCCAGCCGGGCCTGCGGAGCGCCCACGAGGCCAGGAAAACCCTGCCCCAACCAGCAGCCATGGTTGTTCGTGTACCTTGGGGGCGGTTTAGGGTTTAGGGTTTAGGGTTTAGGGAACTTTAGGGTGTCAGTGTGGAAGGCGTTGGGCTATTTTTTGAACTCCCTTTTCCGTCTGCAAGACAGGCCTTCAGGCGAAAGGCCCACTAGAGGCTAGGAGATGGGCCACAACTCCAAACTCCAATATCGAGGCCTGCCGGCTCCTCGTGATTTCTGGGTTTAGGGTTTAGGGTTTAGGGTTTAGGGAGTTTCCGAAAATTGGGGGTACCTTATTTTGGGGTCCTTATAATAGGAATCCTACTATTTAGGGTACTATATCAGGGTCCCCTATTTTCGGAAACTCCAATATGGAGGCATAAAGAAGGACAGATGAGTACAAAAGGTTCCGGCTCCCATCGTAGCGTCTAGATGCTGAACACTAAATAATGGACTCACCCTTAAACCCGGAACCCTGAACCCGGACCGATTCCTCACAAAACCCTTACGACAAGAGCCCTTTAAAAATGTTAACGCCCCCATGAAGCCCGTCTGAAGCCCCTAAACCCCGTTACAACAAAACTGAGAAGCCAACCCGGCTGCTTGAAAGAAAGTGTGAACCCCTGGAGACTCTTGACAAAACAACCCATCACCACTACGAACTGCAAATGAGCCCTTCAAACAAAAAAAGCAAACAAAAAAAAAAAAAGCAGAAACCGACTCTGCCTTCTGGGAAATGCCCGGCTTTACGAGGCTCCGGGGCCTTATGGGGCCTTGTTGGATGTGGTATGTGGCTTAGCTCTAGGAGCTTTAAAACCCGAACGCCTGAAACCCCTACACCCCTAAACCCAAACCCTAAACCCCCTAAACCCCGAAACCACCCCCAAACCCTAAACCGCCTAGACCCCCCCTCAACCCCTCAACCACTGTAACCCCTGTAACCCTAAACCCTAGACCGGGCCGAGAGTTGAGGATTGCCGGGCTCAAAGCTGGGTTTAGGGTTTAGGGTTTAGGGTTTAGGGTTTAGGGTTTAGGGTTTAGGGTTTAGGGTTTAGGGTTTAGGGGGCACTTGGATCTTCTCCTGTTGTCCTGCAATGCCTGTAATGAGTACTCCCACAAAAAGTATCAGCTCCTAATGTAGGGGCCTTAATTATGAAGAATAGGTTTATTTTTTTTTCTCTTGGGGGTGGTCTTTATTAGTATTATACTTTAAAAGAGCCCTAAACCCTATTCTCATGTTTAGGGCCCCTATCTTACTTCATAATGGCTCCTTTAAGGAACAGGTCCCCAAAAAAAGTATTCAAGTATGATACTCCAAAACTCACCCTGAACCTTAAACCCCAAACCTTAAACTTGCAGATCCCGTAATGGGCAGAGAGTTCAGGGCTCAAAACGCTGTCCGATGCTCGAAGCCGGGGGGCCACGTGAAATGCTGGCAGGTCGGATTGCTGGCACAGAGTGCCCTGAGCTGCGCAGGCTGTAGTGTTTAGGGTTTAGGGTTTAGGGTTTAGGGTTTAGGGTTTCGGATTTAGGGTTTAGGGTTTAGGGTAACCCTAAACCCTAAAAGGTTTAGGGCGTCTCTTCGTGCTTTGTACTGGCTCGACACGGTTATTCCGACTCGTCGAGCCTGACAGGCTGTGACAGCTTTAGATGAAAAGTATCCCGGTGTAGTCTCTGCATAATCGCCCTACATATGGGGTTTAGGGTTCAGGGTTTAGGGTTTAGTGTTTAGGGTTTAGGCTTTAGGGTTTAGGGATTAGGGATATATATATATATATACACACACCGAAACCTCATTTTGTTGAAGGCCCCTGTTGTATCAGACTTCAAACCACAGGCAGCCCCCCCAAATTGAGGCCCAGTTTGGCCCACCCCAAACTTCCGACGTAGGGTCTGAGCAGGCTCTGGATCTTAATTAGAACGTAGTCAAAATCTCTACCGCAACTGATGCAAGCGATGTAGAACTGAATTAGGGTTAGCCGTAGAGGTCTCGAAAGCCCTGCAGTGTCAGAGTAGCAAGCTATATCACAAATCTCCGATACGTCTTGCCTCCTTCCAGAACCCATCGCCACTCCCACCAAACGCAGGGCCATTCCTATGTTCAGGGTTACCTACCCAAACATGGGGGCGGGGTTGAGGAGCATGAATGCTGAAGAATGGTGTTCCCTGGTACATTTCTCTTGTGATATCATATCACCACACCCTCTTCAATGTTCTAGCCGCAAACCCCGATCGGTGAACCCGAAACCCCTCATCACCGCACCTTTCTGGAGCCCTCACAGAACCCTCAAGGGAATCCCCGATCCCCAAAGGAACTAATGCAGGGGCCTTAATAATTAGAGTAGGGTTTTGAGGGTTCCGTATCATAATTATAGTATACTATACCCCCAAACCTTATTCTAATTTTGAGGGCCCCTATACCCTAAACCCTAAACCTAAGCCCTTAAACCCCTATATTACATCCCAGGCCCATAAACATGAAACAAGAGTCTGGCACGCAGATGCGTCGATCATAAAGGCGCCGTTTGGCAGCCCCTGTACTGGCGGCGCAGCGTCCCTGTACCTGTGTTTTTCTTTTGGTTTGGGGGTTTAGGGCTTAGGGTTTTGGGGGTTTAGGGTTTAGGGTTTAGGGACGGAGAGTTACATGGTTGTAAGGTTCCAGCTGCGGTTTCGGATTTAGGGTGCACTTCGCCAGGGTTCACTTTGATATAAGGCTTACTTTCAGGGTTTTTTAGGGCTTAGGGTTATGTTTAGGGTGTACTTACAAGTTATAAAGCTTCACACAAATCCTGTACAACCTTATGCAAACCCTGCATAGCTTTCCACGTGCCCTAGAACCTGAGACGAGACGTGCGACTCAAAAACACCCATAATTCTACTTGAGGGTTTGGGGTTTAGGGTTTTAGTGACCCTAAACCCTAAACCCTAAACCCTAAGACTTTTGGAGTCTTTTGCATGCTGGTAGACAGCCCTGAAAAGGCTCGGGGTGTTGGACTGGGGGCCCGACACAAACGCCCTCAACCTCTACAAAACCCTTCTTTGAGATAGAACCTTGGTAAAACCTCATGGAACCCTTGTGAAACCCCATACCAATGCCGCAAAACCCTGAGGGGACCTGGAAAAAAACCGATGAAACCCTACAGAACCCTGAGAGCCCCTACAAAAACTGGACAAAACCTATGAAAACCATACGTACCAAAACCCTACCAAAACCCTTAGTAGGGTTCAGGGTTTCATGTCGGGGCTTTAATATTTACCAATACTATTTTTTTTGGG